TTGCCGGGACACGTATTCCCTTCGGGATCCTTCATGCTCTAAGCGTACGAGCGTGGTGTATGGGCACCGAACATACAAGTATCTAGGGTGATAGCTCTGAGCGTGCACGACCTCGCAATGGTGCTCCGCAACCACGACCAGTTGGCATAGAAAATCAACCTGCAATTTCACAAAATTTTAAAATTATATTTTAATGTTTTGTATGTCGTTGTTGGTGATTTGCCCTTTTGATGGTGAACTAGGCGCATGTTTTGTTCAATTCCTGAAATCCTTTTGGAAGGCCATCTGGATGTTTTGTAAGTCACTAAGTGGACACGCCTCAAACCCTCTCTGCTAGATGACAATTCAAAGTCTTGAAGTGCAGGTCTAAGAGGCAGAGTCAGGTTTGGTTTGACTCAGTCTGCATAACTCCATCTTTCCCCTGCTGCCAAAGGCTTCTACGGCCTTTGCATCCAGTAAGCTGGGAACAGGCAATCAAGAGAGAAGATGGTGACGCCGGGGACAGCCGCACCTAGCAACGCTACGACTGGCGACTGGCGGCGTTGAGCCGCACATGGCCAGTGATGAACCCGGGGCTCCGAGATCTGCCGTCTCCTTCCCGTCCCTTGGGCGTCGTTTCTGGAGGTGCGGAGGCGATCCTTGTCCGCTGTAACTTGCCGGACAGGGATGGAGGGTCCCTCAGCCATGGCTTCCACCGGATGGGTGTGCCAGTGTCGCTGCCTGTCGATGTCCACAGAGCCCAGGATGGCTGGTTCGCAACGCCTGCCCTCCAAGCCTGGTGCGCACGCCTGCCGGGATAACCCAGCGGATCTGGCAATTTCAGATCGTGGATTTTGGAGTGTTTTCACCTTCGCTGATTTTGTTAAATGACTTTTTGAATTACTTTTTGCTGATTTCACTTAATTTCTATTCTAATCTCTCCGAGTTTCTACAAAAAAAAGAGAGATGACTCTCAATGAAAGCACCAATATTGGTAGAAAATAGCAGCATTTAAGTATAGTAAAATAACGTCCAGAATACATGGGGGTGTTGGCCTATTTATAGGCATCCATTACAAGTCCAAAGTCTAACCTATGTGGGCTTGACCCAAATAAATAATACATGTCCAAGCTAATGGGCGAACCAGCCCGATAAATAAGTAAATGAGCAAGGGGCGATTCCCGCTCGTGAGACTGCGTCTTGGGCCTAGTTGGGCCCAGGCTCGGAGATAACAGGCCGATGGCAGTGGGCCTGGCCAATTATCCCAACAATATTAAATACAACAAGAGGCATATACTAATAAACATTGATCACAACATAAAATACCTCTAACATACTTCACTTTTTCTTGGTGGTTATCTTGAATCATGTCTCTTCTTTTACAAGAAGCACCAACCACATCCATTAATAGTGATATCATATCGAAGCAATCTCCAACTTCAACATGTTTTTTTTAAACTGCCACATCAACTAGTTGTAGTTGATGAGCAAAACAATGAACATAATAAACTGAGTTATTTTCTTTCAAAATTAAAGCTCTGAGACCATTGAATTCACCTTGCATATTACTTGTAATATCATAGCCTTGGCCTCTAACATTTTTCAAACTCAACCCATATTCAGAAAAAACACAATCAATAGCAGATTAAGAAATAAAGAAGACGTATCGTTAACATTAACAACACCAACAAACCTTTCTTTAACCAAGCCACATTTATCAATGTAACGCAAATCCACAACCATTTGCTCTTTTTAAGAAACATCACTAGACTCGTCAACAAGCAAAGAAAACACATCATCACCAATATCTGCAAGGATAGAACACACTACTTCTTGTGCAAAACAATTGGAATTTTTTTTTGAATGCTTGGATCAATAACTTGATTATTCCCTGGAGCATTTTTAATACAACCTTACTAACCGCCTCATTCTGACTAGCGGTATACTTTATAAATTCCGAAAAATTCCCTCTATTGTTAGAATCTTCAGACTCATCATGACCACGATAAGGCAATCCTTGATGCAATAAAAATCTTGAAACATCAATAGAAGCATTCAAGCGAATACGATACTCATTTTTCACAATTTCATTTTGTCTATGCATTGCAACTCAATTGACTGATCTTGGTTCATCAAATCATCGCATCTTTTAACTACTTTGTTGTGAAAAAAAATTATTTCACCCACATGAGAAGCTAATCTCTCAGTTTTTTTCCACTTGAAAAGCCCTCAGTTACAAATGCATCACTCCCAGCACGGGGTTTAACATAATCTTCTAAACAAGTAACAACTTAAACATAAGACTTTGTCATCTTGAATACTATACTCTAACCAGCTAGGATATTGATCAAACCATTTAGAATTAAACCATCTCAAACTCTTCCCGATATTCTTCTGTGGGAAGTCATGATCACGTGCTTGGCAGGGACCTTTAATTAGATATTTTCTCTGAATTTCATGCCATTGAATAGGATGACATAAAAAAACTTCTTCTTGCGGGGTCTTAATGAAGCTCATCAAAATTCACTTCTGAGACATTGAATTATGACATTGAGAAGTAATATTACACACATTTATACTTGAACTTCCCTTGTTGAGGAGGGTGTTGAGGGCAATGAGAAGGGTGTCGAGGAGGGAGTTGAAGAGGGCATTTTGCTAAAAAATCCGCCCATAAAATCTGATAAAAAAAGTGAAATTTATTTTTTTGATAGCTCCCTTTATATATTATTATCTTAAATCTGCTTTTACTTGTAAAAATATATTTTACATAATTAGTTATCTTAACTCTTCAATCCTAAATCCTAATACTATTTACAAATTGTTAATTTTAATTTTAAAATATCAATTGTTAATTTTAATACTAAACCTTAAAAAATCAATTGTTAATTGAGAAAATGGAAACTAATAATCCAACCTTTTAGCGGTCTTCTTTTAATAGTCCGACCTTTTCGTTATTCATGAATAATCCAACCTTTGCACCTCATCTTCATTCATTGGTCCCCGACCGGTTGATGACCTGCTATTCCGAGTTATTTTCTCATCTCTGCAAACTATTATACCATAAATGAAGATGAGGTGCAAAGGTTGGATTATTCATGAATAACGAAAAGGTGGGACTATTAAAAGAAGACCGCTAAAAGGTTGGATTATTAATTTCCATTTTCCCTTGTTAATTTTAACTAACATTTTTTATAAATTATGATAAATTTTTTTATTTATTTATCATTATCTAAACAAGTAAAACGCTAAACAAGTAAATAACATCTAAAAAGGTAAAAAGGCAGTCAGGAAGAAGGCTCGATCATAAAATCTATTGATCTACACATTAAGTTTAACAACATATAAATTGTACAATAACACAAATAGAAATGATATATTAGTCAAATAGTTATTAGTTGATTATTGATACTTAATGAGTTTAAAGAGAAACCCGCACTTTTGCAATTTGGAATCAAAGCTTTCAACTTTCTCGACCCCATTCTACTTTCTTTTCCGTACCAAATCGAGTTCTCGGTGCTCTTTTGGTCCTCCCTTAATCACTGCTTTTTTCTCCACGCCTCCATTGCGCACACGAGGGAATCGGGCAACAACTCGACAGGCTCTGTTGCCCACAAGCTGCTCTGTTCTAATTTTAGGGATTTGGGATTGACAATCAGCTTGTCGATTTAAGATGGTGAGAAGTAAAAAGTTTTGTTAGTTTGGGTATTTGGGCTGATTAAGTGATTGGGCTAGGTATATGAGGGCATTTTTTTAATTGGGGCATTTCTATTGGGCCGAGATTTTATTATTCAATTATAAGAGGCTAGTAGCCCTTTATTGGGGGCAACTCCCCCCCCCCCCCGCCCCTTGTGGTGATGTACATCCGCTCCTGTGTCTATTGATTGTGTCTTCCTCATTAGTGTAACCGATCAAGTCGTTCATTATTCATGGTTGGTAAAATATGTTCAACCTAGTTCTTCTCAAGTTACAACTACCCCCAACCGTTGCCTCACACTGGAAAAAAGATATCGCTCAACTGGACCTTCTTTTCAGTGTCTAGTCAAACTGATGATGCGGACATTTTTTGCTCAATTGACTTTCCTTTGTTGATTGCTGGTCAAATCAATTCTCCATTTTCGGTGGGTGGTGAAGCCGGATCTTTTAATTGTAATTTTTTATTTTCGTTTTGGAGTAGTAAGAAGAACAGCATGACTGTTAGACTAGACTACATTATAGAGTAGTTGGCGATCTGAAAAGATTTATCAGAATATACATTCACTTGTCTCATTGCTATCATGTAATAAACAAATCAGTTATTTGATTTTCCCTAATTTTTCTTTGAGGTAAAGGTCAATTGAGTATATCAACTTGTACAATGTAGAGTAAAGAGTACATTATATTGCATTTGATCTTTTTAAGTACACAAACTCGCTTTTTAGTGTTATTGAGTATACCTGTTGGATTAACATATTAATACAGCTGAGTTGTCTTACAGAATGCTAATAGGTCGACTTCTCGAAGATTGACGTCAGCCCTCAACCCCTTGATCGACTTCCCCTTGGCCGACATAAGTCCCCCCGCATGTCAACTTCCCCTTGGTCGATCCACCCCCTGCTGCCCGATGCCTCCCGCAGGTCAACCTCCGAAGGTTGATTTTCCCTTTTTGATCGACTTTATGAAGGTCGGCGCCATAAACCTTGGTTCATTACTCCTTACTTAACATTCCATTAGCCAACTCAGACATATTGGCATGTTAATCTAACAAGTGCACTCAATTAACACCAAATAAACGAGTTTATGTACTTACGAATGTCTAGTGCAATACAATGTAATCTTTACTTCACGTCAAGTTAATGTACTGAATTCACATTTTTCTCATTTTTATTTTATAGTCATACAATAAGCTACTCAGGGGGTGTTTGGAACTGATTCTGATTCTGTTTCTTTTTTTTATAGGTAAAAACAGAATCAGAATCATTTTTCAGAAGCGGGTCTTCCCTAACTTTGATTCTAGAAGTCAATTAGACTCCAAAATCAGTTCTGCAATTTCATTCAAACTGTTTCCGAGCAGAAGCGAATAAGATCCAAACACCCCCTCAAATACTTTTGGATCCGTCTCTCTTCAGCAGCACAAGTTCAGTCCCAAAGGAGACAGCGAGACAACCGAGAGAGAAGACAAATGGCATCTGCGTTGAGGGCTGCAGTACTCCGACAGGTCCGAATCCCGGTAACCGAAGCCTTATCATCGAACAGCTCGCGGCTGGTATCCAGCCGATGGATGTCTTCGGATGACGACCACTTAAGCAGGAAGCAAGTTTCCGACAGAGTTCTAGACGTCGTCAAGAATTATCCCAAAGTCGAACCTTCCAAGGTACCGAATCTATAATTATCCCTTCCTTTCTATTTCTCCTTCCAAAAACCGATATTATATCATATTAGTTGGTATGTTGTCGCAGCAATAATGATAAAATTTTAAATCAAATTCAACCAGAAACTACAAAAACATGGCTTTATATATGGAATTCCACATCTTACTAACCTGAGTGCATGTATCTTTGCGTTTTGATGAAATTGGTTGGTAAGTGTTGACCTAAAAACTCTATGGGCTTATGTTTCTCAACAATTAGTTTTTTTTTGTAGGGGAGCTTGAGCAAACCTGAAATACTTCGTAAGTGCTATCTGTTGTAAAGCTACTCACCTACCCCCCCCCCCCCCCCCCCCAAATAAAAAATTGAAACTACTCCTTATAATAAAAATAATCATTACAAGAGAACATAATAGAAAAATCAGTAGAATAAATCAAGAGAGGAAGTGAGGGGTCTACTTATAGTAGAAGTAAAAAATCTGAATATGATTTTTGGATGGAACTTTTCAGCTTCTTTTGTGATAATCTTGGGCATAAATGTAAAACGTGCATTGATTATTCCATATTATTTAATATTTTGACTGCATTGTGTCATAGAGATTGACTTTTGATTGACACAGAGAACGACTCTTAAGCTCGAGGGCTAGCCGTGAAGCCCTTTACAAGAAAGGGTATTCCCCGAAAAGAAATTCAAGTGAGGAGTAGAATAGGGAGTTTGGAAAGATTTAATGTGTATTTCATAATGCCTAAGATTGTATAAGTCGCAAAATAAATGGTGTCAAATTACAAGGGCAATCCTAAAATATAGGGATTGCTACAACTCATAAAACTTTAAAAGAAAGTAATATTGCCACTAACAAGTAATGCATTACTAATATCCATGTAGTATGCTGGAGTGTGCTTTATGTGCTTTTCCCTAGACATGCGAATAGGCCCCCCATGTATGTCAGTATGTTACCATCTTGGTTACTGACTTCGTCACCAGCAGAAGCACTTTTATCACTCCCAACCCCGGCTCTTCTCCTGAATTTGGAAAACACCTTGTCTTCAAGGCTTAAACCTGGTTACATTAGAATCACCCTAAAAGTCCCCATGAGTTGTATTATTGATGGGTCCCCTGTAATACACAATCACGTTTTGTGAAAAGCAGGATGAATGCTAGGCTTCTGGGGGTAAGTTGGTAACTCTTACTTGTCCAATTTGTTTTAGTACCTCAAAGGGACCTAAATATCACTTGGATATTTATAGAAGCATCGGCAGTCACATACTTGTCAAAAAGTTTGTAATTCTAGTGGGACTAGTTTGCCAACACAGAATACCACTTCGCACCAATGTGTATTGGGCTTCTGAGTCATGCAATGTTGTGATTGCTGCAATGATTCTCTAAACAAACAAAGAACTCCCTCTTGTTCATGAGAGGAACATCCAGAGCTTGTGTATCTGAGGATTTTGCTTCGCTGTGGGAAATAAGGATGTTTTTACTTGGAATGTAATTCGTCCCAGTCTTCCAGACCAGACTTGGATAGTTATAAAAATACAAAGAAACCAGACCAGATTAGACCAGACCAGACCAGCAAATTACAGTCCAAGTAAAAACATCCTAACTGGAGGCAGACGTCTCTTAGTGGTTTAGTCCATAAGGTCTTGAAAGGAGTCATATGGATGCTCTCGTTGAAGTTAGTGTTATAACAAATCTCTGCCCAGCTCAAGAAACCAAAACAAGTATGTGGAGTTCAAAACAAAGATCTGCTCTCATTTTTGTGCAACAGCCTGTAAATGTTTGTTTGAGCCCTGATTACCCACCTCAGATTTCGGCATTTCGCATCAATCCAGGCCTCTGGGAGATAGGCCATACTCTGCTTCAATTCGAAGTCCATGAACTCAAAGAGCTTATTCTGAAGTTTGCTAATTAAGAGATAGTCTCTACTTGAAATAACCAATCTAGGTTATCCATGAAATAAAACAAAATATTTATGAAAAAGTGACTCACCATAATGAACATACTTATTGAGTTGGTCACCTAACAGTATAGAGTCCATGAGAAGATGGCATCCCACAATGAAACAGTAAGTGCCTTGGTGTGATATTTCGTTGGCTAACACGTGGGTTTGTATATGCATATGTTTGATGGTGTCCGGCATCTTGGGCCAATAAAAATTGCATGTGGGTGTTACATGGGAGAGTGCATATAACACCCACATGGCCTTATGTCCACTATCTTTGAACAATGTAAATCATGCAATGAAAACAAAGTTAAATTAAGGAGGATGTAGGAGCAGCCGAGCAGGTGGTAATGGTGCTTGTAGAATAAGATACCATGCTTACTGGTAGTCCTTTGGCAATTTCCCTTTGGCCATTTGCTGAACTAAGGTTGGAAGTCGTCCGCTGGTTCTTCTTATTACTTAATACCTTTCAAAACTCTAGAATGAGTTGTATTGCCTCCATCAATAGAATGTGCTCTTTGTGCGAGCAAGAGAGCACATTGGCTCAAGCGAGTAATATAGATGCGTTTGGGAAGGGTGCTCTTGTATTTCATAATGCTTGAGACGATGTTGCAGTCACAACATCAATGCCGTCAAACTACAACTGCCAGAAATAATATTTTCACTAACAACTAGTGCATTAAAAAATCCTTAGGTTCAGTTTAGGCGTAGTTTTTTTATAGGAATTTTGGAGTCCTAAGTGTATATCTTGACATATACACTTTAAGCTTAATAAATATTGAATGAATAAGGCAACTGAAGGGATATAGTTTTGGAGGGCTAAGTGTGCACATAGACTGTCACCAGTCTTCCCCTCCAAACCCATCCAAAAACATACGTCCAAACAGACCCTTATAGACTTATAGTACGCTGGAGTGTGCTTCATGCTCCTATGCATGCATTATGTCCCTTCTGCTTGTTGTCATATAGCCTATTGCTCCTCGACATGTTGAAAAAAAATAAAGTTTCCGGAGTCAGTTTTGTTGATCACATTTGGACCATGCCTAAAACCTTTGACCCCTTCATCCAGTCAAGGGCACCTACGTGTCTTGTCCTTGTGTGACTGTCTGGCATATAGTTTCTAGTTTTGGGAGAGTTAGTAGTTCACAGATTAGGTTGTTAGGATGCAGACTTAAAATTGTGACACTAATGTCCCTGGGAATATCTATCTCCTAAATTCCTAATTGATACTCATGCTTTGATCAAATACAAAGAAGAAAAGCATTAAAACCATTGAGATTAAACTCCTTGATCATAAGCTATACTGCTACAGCTTCATGGAATTAGATCATATTTCTCGCGTGATTCAGTTGCATGTATCTGTTGTTTATCCACGAGAAATATCTGCAATTACATGATCACATCCGGTCTTTTTACCATTTAAAATGGGTCTCTTTATCATATTTAATTTTTCAAATGTCTATAGGTATCTCCTGATGCCCATTTCCAGAATGATCTAGGCTTAGACAGCTTAGACACTGTTGAGATTGTAATGGCTCTCGAGGAAGAGTTCAAACTGGAAATTCCAGATAAGGAAGCAGTTAGGATCGACTCATGCTCACTTGCAATTGAGTACATTTATAACCATCCAATGTCAAGCTAAGGGTTTTAAACTGGAAGGTGTTTTAGTTTTGGAATGGGGTTCAATCCCTCTTATTAACTTGAAATGTGGAAACTGGATCCATAACCAAATCATCCAATAATCATCATTCTGGACAGTTGTTCATTCTGTAAGCTGTTATTTCTGCATTGGTAGTTTGCCTTATATTGTAGACGTGGTTTTAATTTTCATGCTGTTGCAATCATTCGTTTTTCCATATTTGCTTTGGGTAATGTTCTCACAACATGGCCCATAATGTTGTTTGGGCGTGACTTGTGTTGTACTACTTCCCTAATGTCTGATATTAGCATTTGTGATCAAAGTATGACTTTGACGAATTCAATTCCAGCAACAACATGGCCCATAATGTTGTTTGGGTAATGTTCTCACAACATGGCCCATAATGTTGTTTGGGTGTGACTTGTGTTGTACCACTTCCCTAATGTCTGATATTAGCATTTGTGATCAAAGTATGACTTTGAAGAATTCAATTCCAGCAACAACATGACCCATAATGTTGTTTGGGTAATGCTCTCACAACATGGCCCATAATGTTGTTTGGACGTGAGTGTGACTTGTTTTTCTCTAATGTATGATTTTGAGCCTACCAACTTACCAAATATCTTGTGATCTGATGACATCACTGTTGATCTCTCAAAGAAGAAGTCTTAGGTTCGGGTCCCATTCCAATAAAAAATGTTGACATTAACAAGAACACATACTATAGTAGGTTTAGAAGAATATTCCAAAAAAAAAAAACTCTCAAGCTATAAGGCTATAGGACTACCTTTTCTTCAATGTGGCATGGCACTGCATTTTCTGTTGGTGTCAAAGTTTTAAGGAGAAGTGTGTTACTTCGGTACAAAATGTAAATAATGTTCTTTTATCGTCAAAGCTTATTAAGAAGGTGCAAAGACTGTAAAAATGTAAGCATGTAATTATCATCCCTTTCTTTTTTTATTTGTTAGTTCTAGTGGATACATTTGATACCAAGTTTCACAAATAAAGTGATACTCTCATCTCATAGGAAAGTTAGTTACTATGTTCGAGTTCTCAGAAGCAATGCGTATGATTACTTATTAAATAGAGACGGTTACTTGTCGGCAAACTTAGGCTCGACAGTAGACCTGTACAAAACCGGGCCAGCCCACCCGGTCCGTCCAGCCCGCCCGCACAAATTAGCGGGTTTGGGCATATATATTTACCCACCGGCCCGGCCCGAGCCTGGCCCGCAACAACATATGGGCGGGCTTGGGTTAGGGTGTAGGCTCGTTCGGACCGATAAGCCCGGCCCGCTACATTTAGTATATATACATATATATTTTTATATATACTAATTTATGTATTTATTTACATGTACACATGTATATTTATATTTACTAATTTATATGTATACATATTTATAGTTTATTATGTTTAAATTTAAGTTTTTAGTTCTTAACAAATAGTCCAACCAATATAATACTCCTTATCTATTTTTGTACTTAAAGATAATACTTTGTGCTTGAATTTTAAATTTTAGATACAGTTTCTCATTGTAAGCGTATTAGCAATTTTTTAAATGTTGTAATATTATTTATAAAGTATTAAATAAATTATACGGAGTATAATTTTAAAAAATTTAAAGTTTTCCCGGTCCGGGCGGCCCGGTGGACTACCCGACCCGCTCTTACGGGCGGGTATGGACATAAGGTTAGGCCCGTTTTTTGCGGGCCGGGCCGGGTCCGCCCACACATGATGGGCAGAAAACTTATGAAAGCCCGGCCCGAGCCCGCTTTTGTGCAGGTCTACCCGACAGGGTACACAATTATCGTATAATGTATTTATTCTTTTTTATGGTAATCAATTAGGGCCATTAGCGTTGCACATTTGAACTTAATAGTGTGCGAGTAAGCTTGTTGTGACTCAAATGTGTGTGATTGAACCTATTAATGGGACGATCAAAATAGATAATCCGAACTATGGGCGGTCCGCTTCTAATAATCCCAACAACGAGTTATATCTGTTTAATCCCAACTTAGGGGGTAATCTTCCCTAATTAAACTACGGTTACCTGCTACTGGCTGTGACCCTAAAAAACAAGTTTAACAACCTTATCCTCACAATCTTCCCTCGCTCAAGAGTTTCAAGAGTATCGTTCACCGCAGTCACACGAAGGAAATCTTCCCTCACAACGTTCACTCAAGACAATCTTCCCTCGCTCAAGACCCTAACTTTCATCTTCACTCAAGACCCTCACAATGTTCACTGCAGGCCTGCAGCCACACGAAGGAAAGCTTTCCTCTTCATTGGATTTGAGTCTGCCATATGAAGGAAAGCAATTGAAGGTGCAGCGCACTGGTGAAGCTTTAAACTTCATTGGACTGAATTCAATAGAGGTAAGATTATGCGTTCTTCATTAGATTGAATAGAAATTTCATTCATTGTACTCAAAAAGAGTTGTTGTAGATGTATTAATTAGGGTTTTGGTTGTTTAGGGTGGAATAGAAATTTCATTAGGGTTGAATAGAAATTTCATTCATTGTACTCAAACATAGCAATTTAGGGTTTTGGTTATTTAGGGTTGAATTGGTGTTCGATGCACTGGTTGTTGTAGGTTTAGTGATATATTAAACCTCTTTCATCGTATATACTTCAATGTACTTTTAATTGATGTTCATTGCAGGTTTTAAGTCCAAGAAAAAGGAATGGCTTTAAACACTCTGATTACACTAGAGATGTGGCATGGGGGTACATTTAAGAAAGACAGTAAGGGGAAGTTAAAGTATTCAGGGGGCCAATTCAGATGCTTTGATTTGGATGCTAATGAACTTTGTTGGTTTTGGTTGGAGGAGTTAGCTGCAAAATGTGGGAAATATAGTAGTATAAATGAAATATATTACTTGATTCCTGGAAAGAGTTTGGAGACAGGTTTGAGAAGTGTTAAGTTTGATGCTGAGGTGAGAGATATGTACAAATTAGTTCTGCAATGTGGTGTAATAGATTACTACATTAGACATGGAGTAAGTACACCTGAATTTGTGCTAATGCTTGAAGGGATTGGGGAAAATATAGGAGAGGCTGGGGGGTTCTGGGAGGTATGTGGGGAGTCATACACCAGCATGTGAATTAGAGCATGGAGCAGAAACAACTGAAGGAGGGACTACACTACAGCTTGAGACAGACACTGGGAAAGAAACCAGGACCTCTGATGAAGAGGGAAATGTTGAATCAGAAGACATTGAGCATGAAGAAGAGGTGGGAAATGAAGAGGAATTTCAGGTGCCACTAGTTGGATCTGACAATGACACAAGTGATGAGGAGTTTATGGAGTCTAAAAGAAGAGTGACAGGGTGGAATTCTAAGATCATTTACATAGCAAAGCAACTAGAAAAAGAAGCAGTTGATGGTGTTAAAGGGGGTAATCAGTCATCACAAACAAGTTCTCATGACCATACAAGTTCTCATGACCACACATGTTCTCATGATCAAACTGATTCAGATCAAGTTGACTTTGTTAGTGAGTATGAAGAGTCAGATGATGATATCCACACACCTCCAGAGACAATGAGGATACCTTTCCAAAAAAAAGATAGACCTCCTGTGGTGAATGAATATACAGATTTCAGTAAGCTTTTTTGGATGCCTGGCATGAGGTTTGCAAATAGCCAAATAGAGACAAGTTTAAAGATGCGGTTACCAGGTTTGCCATTGCTCAAGGGAGGAACCTAAAGATAAATATCAGCAGTAAGGGCGGACAACAAAGAGTTGGTTTTAAATGTGTGGATGGTTGTCCTTTCAGGATTTATGCCAGTTGGGATAGCAGAAAGGGCTTGCTTTTTAGTGAAGTCAGTTGAAGGGGAGCATTCTTGCAATAGGAACATGAAAAGAAATAGGCAAATGAAGGCCTCATGGGTGGCAAACCATTTTTTAGAAGTCTTTAAATCTAGACCTCACTGGTCAGCAAAGGACATTATTGAAACTATTAGGAGAGGTTACAAAATAGTGGTGCAGAGGGACTATGCATACAAAGTTAAATACCATGCACACAAGAAACTTCATGGCAGTATGAAAGATCATTATAATAAGCTTGGAAGATATCTTGAAGCTTTAACCCAATCTAACCTAGGGATGTCAAAAAAATCCGACCCGCAATGACCCGCCCTGGCCCGAGACATTTGGGGCGGGTCCGCCCCGCCCCGCCTATACAATGGGGCGGGTCCGGGTATTAGAATTGACCCGTGCCGCCCCGCCCCGCCCCGCCCCGACCCGCTCAATATATAAGTATACATACTTTTTCTTAAATTATACTACAAATATACTTCAACATACATATGTGTGTATACAATAAATCATAAATTATTTGATCTTATAATATATGAATATATATTAGAATGAGATGCACGAGGATTATCAATGTCTTCTTTATATATAGAATTTTAATGCATATATTCAATTATTAATATAACTAATTAGATTAACTATTCAAGTTTGAGTAATTTTTTCTTAATTTTTGATATTTTTTGCGTATCATGAATTCCATTTAATATATTGATTTTTAATTATTATTTAGAGATAAACATTATGTAGATTCAATTGGTAACAACTCCCCACAAATAAAAATATATATTAGCTAATTAGGTTGCTGCGGGGCGGGTCATGGGTCAACAAGTTTGGACCCGTGCAGGTCACGGGGCGGTCTGGGTCTTGCAATACCCGCCCCGACCTGACCCATTGCCATGCCTAATCTAACCCCCTTAGTCATTTTAAATTAATGACAGATCCTAAACCTCAAACATTCCCCCACCTTCCAGAGGTTCTTTGTTTGCTTTAATGGTGTAAGAGATGGGTGGTTGAGTGCAGCAAGAAAGGTGTTGTGTGTGTACGGCTGCTTTATCAAAACTTTCTTAGGAGGGATGCTTTTGTCTGCGGTTGGGAGAGACTCAAATGACCAGATGTCCCATTAGCTTGGGCAGTAGTAGAGGGTGAAAAACAATAGTTGGTAGTGGTTTCTAGAAGAGTTGAAGAAGAACTTTGGACAAACAAATGATGCAGATTTGACTTTTATTTCAGATGAACACTAGGCCATATTTATTGTGTTTAGTGTACTTTAAATGTAATTTTAGTTAACTCTACTAGTATACTTACTTTTACTGTATTGGTTTTATGGTGTGCAGTCAATTTTGCGTGGATTCTCCACCATTTTTCCAATGGCAGAGCACAGGCATTGTGCACGTCATGTTTTTGCAAACTTGCACAAGACACATAAGGGGGATGAACTGAAAATGCTATTCTGGAAAGCATGTAAGGCATATAATGAAGCTGATCTCGAGGATGGATTAGATGAAATGGAAAAGGTAAGTCCATCTGCAGTGATTGGTTTTGAGGCATGCAATCCCCAAGTTTTTTGTAGAGCATTTGTTAGGACTACCAGTAAGTGTGATGTCATTGTCAGTAACATGGCTGAAACGTTTAACAGATACATCATCAATGCTAGAGCCAAACATATCATTTTCATGTTAGAAGATATACGAGGAGCATTGATGCAAAGGATGGTCTTGAAAAGGCAAGCGATGGAAGCATCTAAAGCTTTGATATGTCCTAGGATCATGACCAGATTAGAGAAAGCTAAACATGATGCAGCCCATTGTACCCCAATGCCATCTAGCCAAGTTAGTTTTCAAGTTAGCCATTATCTGGACACTTTGACTGTTAATTTGGACACGAAGATATGTACTTGTAGAAAATGGGATCTTAGTGGAATCCCATGCTGCCATGCACTGGCCTGTATATTCTTCCTAAATGCGTCCCCTAAGGATTATGTTGATGACTGCTATAAGAGAGAGGCTTATTTGAAAATATACTTAGGTGCCATAGCCCCATTGACTGGAGAAAGGCATTGGCCCAAAGTAGACCTTCCTTTGGATCCTCCACCAATAAAGATTAGTCCTGGTAGACCAAGAAGGAATAAGATCAAACCTCCCCATGAAAATCCTAAAAAACCTAGAAAATTAACTAGGCATGGGGTTGAGATGACATGTAGTATTTGCAAATCTAAGAGCCACAACAAGAGAAAGTGTCCTGACAAAAATAAGTCAGTGGAGGCCCAACCAAAGAGGAGTAGGGGAAGACCAAGAAAAGAACTGCAAACTACATCAAACTCTACATCTCATCATGAAACAATAGCACAACTGTGACACCGCACCCGGATGTACTTGAATTTGGAATTTGATATGTATTCGAATTTCCTAACGAATAAAATTCGTGTAATTGATTGGCATATTTAATTAATGTGCGATTAATTAAATTATTTATCGGGTCCAGTATATGTGACTGGGCTACCAAATATTTAGTTGGGTCATCGTGAAAATTATAGAAGCCCAATAAAGTGCCAACCAAAGTTGATAAAAATATTTGGACAACCCGAATGCCATTTTGGCCCGACCTACCGAAAATAGCAGGAATAATTGGGAGGGACTTCCTACACCCACTTGGGGTATCCTATACACTAATTTGACTCAAAAATAAGGGAGGGGGGCCACACCAATTTGGCTTGTGCGGAGGATGGGGATGGGGAGTCTCATTGAGACAAAACCCACTCACCCATGTCCTATCCCACACCTCATGTTGTGTAGATTGAGAAAGACTTCTCTCCTACTCCCTTGCCATCATTCGAACCACACAAGAAGGGAAGAGCCAAGAGGAGAGGTCAGGAGTGAGCTCTAGCAAAGTCTTGGATTGGAGGTAGCAAGAAGAAGGAAATCCAACAAGAAGTAGTTTGAGTTCAAGGTAAGAACTCTATCTATTTTGTGTAACTAGTTTATTCTAGTATGATTTTGAAAATCATACGATGGATTAAACATGGAGTTCTACACGTTTAAAAGTGTAGAATATTGTCATAAAGTGGTGGTGTTTAACTTAGAAGAGTCGTGGAATCGATAGGAGTTGAAACCACCGGAAACCGCCAAGAAGGAGAAGCTGCCTGCGCAGCAGACAGACGAACATCGCCCGGCTTTTGCCAAAGCCGGCCGGCTTTTGTCCAGACAGACCAGATTTAGCTTTTGATCGGTTTAGAACGGGGATTGATCGAAGGGCTTATCAAAGGCAACTAATCCAGTACTTCATAAGGTGAGGATGGCTGACTATGTTGTTTATAATCTTTGGGTTAATTTCGTAAGATTACCTAAAGTAATTAAATGTTATTTTCATGGATTATTAATGATTAATAATGCCTAAATGAAAATATTGTTGTCAATGAATAGAGGAGCATAATATACAAATTTAAGGATAAATTGTGTATGATTATGTAATATGAGTATATTGGCTTGATGAAGGGATTAACTATGAATATTATGTTGAAATATAATTTTAACTTCATATAAGGATATATGAGTGATTAAAGATTATATTTTGTATATTGATATGAACTATATTTTCAATGGAAAATTAGTTTGAGAATTGTCTATATGACTATGAACTGAAATGAGATTTTGTTGGAATTTATCCGACTAGTATAATGATACTAGTCGGGGTTTTGGAATTGAAATATGTTAGAATTGATCCAAGGTTTGGATTGTAAATTGTTTGAGCCTTAAGTAGTCTTAAGAGATACTAAGGTGGATAAGTGATGCTAGGGGTAGGCCTTAAGGGATACCCAAGATAAAGTGAATAATAAATTGATCCTAGGAATAGGATTGGCCTACGGGTGTATTCGGTAGTCTTTGAGGATTAGCCGATAGAGTATTGGTAATTAGTAAGGACCATGGCCCTTCCCGACTCTAGAGAGCGGGGTTGGATAGCATGGACTTACATCGTGATCACGGGTTAGGGTGGAATCCGAACCGGAGACCTTACGAGGCTCCCGACAGCGGTAACACATAAGATAGGACCCCGAATGGACCTTACCTTCCTACGGGACGATGGGTATGAGTTCAGGGGCGGGATGTTGGACTCCGGCCCGAGAGCCCGGTGAGGCCTCGGAGAGCGGTGACAAGTCTCGTAAAGGATGATAAGACCTACGGGCGGTGTCGTGCTAACGACGGGTATAATGAAATATATGAAATGGGCCGTGTGCCGACAAATAAATAAATTTACTTATTATAGAGATAATAAGTGGGAAATATAAATTATTATTTATATTATGATATCACCCTATTTTGAGGGTCTTAGAAATTGAAACATTGATTATACTTGGTATAGTTGTCATTGTACTTGTCAAATGCTTCCAAGTACTGACCTCCCCTTCACGGGGGAGGCCACCTCACAGTTTCAGGTAGGGAGTAGAGCTTGCTACCAGTGCCCGTTGCCTCGGGAAGATCTAGGAAGGAAGACGTGGTTCGTGCTTCCTCCGTCCCTGTTTTAAAAACATTTAAATTAATGCTCATGGATATTTTTGAATGATTATTGGGGCTTGTATGCCCTTGTTTGCCGGAGTGTGGCATAAACACTTGTATTAAACGTTTCCGCTGACTTCAATTGATTATTTTACATTATGTTTGTTTATGGATGTACTATTGTGAATGATATTCAAGACGCCTAGTATAGTATGGATGAGTTGGACCGCGGTTGACTATTCGTACTGTACGGCGGGTTGTTTACGTGTCCGGTAGGTCCGGGGCGTGACAATTAAGTTGGTATCAGAGCCTTAGTCCGTAAACTTCATAATGAAGCTTCAAAATCCATTTTGAAAATGATTTTTGCAAACCATGAGCATAAAGTTTTGTACTTATGGAGCTTTTGGTACTTGAGTTGCAAAGTCTCTAATTGTTAAGATGGTACCCTTAACAATTGGTATGGCGGTGATTTGAGCCAAAAGATGTCTTTAAGTACTTATCCGTCACTTGACATTTGATACGAGTCTAATGGCTCAATCTAAACTTCTTTCAGAAATGGAGCCAATTGGAAGAATCACTAGGAGGAACCCGACGGGCCGTGTACCGGGGGGATCCGAGCGCGGCAGCCGGGGGTCCACTAGGGTGTCCAGGGGAAGGGGCCGTGGAGGCCAGCAACAAACCGTGAGCGATGGCCACGTCGACACGGAGAGTGAGACTTATTGGTCCTATGAGGACTCAACCTATAGGCCGGAAACCGAGCCGGTGGAGACCCCTTATGAAGGGGATGATGATGATGTTAGTGACGAGGAGCAAGATGGCTCCTTGGCAAGAATTGAGGCGCTACTCCAACAATACCACCGAGAGCGCGAGGAGAGGAGGGAACGCCGAAGGCGCCGGGTGGGGCAACCTTCGGGTATGGCTTCAAGAGGAGGAAGCCACAATGCATCTAGAGTCCATGTGGAACCACATGGAGGCCGAAATGATGGAGGTCCAACCATAAGGATCTCCAAATTTATCAAAGAAGCAAGAGACTTGGGGTGCAAACCCTTTGACGGGACCGGAGACATTTCGGTTGCCGCCCAATGGATCAAGAGGTTGAATGAAGCAGCCCTTGACATGCAAATCACGCCCAACCTTAAACTGAGAATAGCGGTAAGGTTGCTTGAGGGGATGGCATCCAAATGGTGGGATGGAACCAAGAGCAAGTATGGCGAGGGCGTCATTTGGGAGGACTTCCAACGGGAGTTCTTTGCCCAATATTACTCCGACTTCGAAGTGAACAAGAAGGTGAGGGAATATACCCTCCTAACTCAAGGGGGTAACATGACGGTGAAGGAACTTGAGTACAAGTTTCGGGACCTTGCCGACTACATACCGGAGTACGCTTGCGATGAGAACCGGATGGTGAACCACTTCTGGGATGCCCTAGACTTGGAGATACGTGATAGGGCAACACAATTGCCTAACATGACCTTCGCCCAAGTGGTAGACCAAGCCTTGAAGGGCGAAAAACAGTGGGAAGAGAGGAAGAAAAGAGACGCCGAGGAGGCGAAGAAAAGAAAATGGGAGAACCATGGCCCCCAAGGTTCTAACAAGAAGGGGAACCACGGGGGAGGTGGCTCATTCAAGGCCCCTGCACCACCATCGAGGGCGAATCAAGGCCCAAGCGGGCAAGCCTCGAGGTCTCAAAACTCGGGAGTACCAAGGTGCAGCAACTGCAAGAAGCTTCACCACGGCAAGTGTCGTGATCCCCCGAGATGCTACCAATGCGGGGAGGTCGGGCACATGAAGGTGAGTTGCCCACAGCTTGGGCGAGGTACAGGTTCCGGACCGAGTAGTGGGACCATGGTGAGCAGGAACCGAACGGGAGCACCGAGTGCAAGTATGGGGCACGGTGGAGCTAGCACAAGCAATGCACCGTCCGTTAATCAAGGGAGGACCCAAGCGAGGGTCTATGCGATTACGGAAGCCGATGCACGTGCTAACCCGGACTCCGTCGCGGGTAAATTCTTGAACTTTTGATGTTATTACCTTGTAAACAATATAAATGTGGGAATGTATAAGTTATATGGCCAACCCAGCCTGTTTAAAGTTCAAAGAAGTGGACAGATATCTGCCTGGGGCGAAAGCCGCCCGGCTTTGACGAACGTCGCCCGACGTTTGTCTATGGTTTATTACATAAATCCTACGGCGACCATAAACCGCCCGATGTTGACGAAAGCCGCCCGGCTTTCGTAGAGGATTTTTGTTAAAATCATTCGGCGGAGGAAAACCGGCCGAGTTTCGTAAAAACCGGCCGGCTTGTGTTCAGGCATCTCCGGTGTGAGGCGCTGTTAACGAAAACCGGCCGGCATTCGTAAGAACCGGCCGGCTTTTAGGAATTAAAAGTTGGAATTCTTTCGGCGACCGAAAACCGGCCGGCTTTGGCAAAAACCGGCCGGCTTACGTAACCAGCCATTCCGAGCCGAAGGCCAAGGTACGAAAACCGGCCGGCTTTCACGAAAAGCGGCCGGCTTTCACTTATTGGTGCACGGTGTTGGTTTTGGGTGGGAACCGGGATGGAATCGGGATGGGGCGTTAGATGACGATCATCCAAACCATAGCCGGGGTACTCTTTTACCTAAGAAAGGAGTCTAATAAGTGGGGAGTGTGTCTTACATTGCTTATGAATGTAGGAACACTAAAGATTAACGGGAGAGACGCAAGAATCCTCATTGACACCGGGGCGCAACGATCATTCGTGAGTGAGGCGTTTGCCGGGGGATTCAAAGAACCACTTGTACCGATGACTCAAGCCCTATTGGTATCCACACCTCTAGGGGAAGACATCGAGAGAGATAGCCA